TTTTTCGATTGATCTATCGATATATTTTAATGTTTTTGTTAATTTTTTTTTATATATTTACAAAACTAGTAACAAACGGATTGTTTGCATCTCGGTAATTTTAATTACCTTTAAACTGATATTTGGTATAAATATAGTTTAGAAAACCAACAAAATGCCTTTTGAAAAATAGTAAATATCAATTATTAAGCAAAATATAACTATTTTTGCAAAAAAAGATACTCGCAAAATAGCCACCTTTGGGCGAGAGGCGATTCTACGTTCTCGGTTATCAGCACATTTTGTTCATTAACAATAATATCATATTATTGGAAAAATAGCATAAATTTATTCATCTAAAGTGTATAAAACTCAGTGCAATAAATAACCGCATGTTTCCGCATTGTTTTTTTAATAACTATTTGAATTTTTATTTTAATAATTTTATTTATTAAAATAGTCATATTTTTTCATATATTAAACAAAAATTGTTGCTACGAGTAGTATAGTGACTCGACTTGATATCCGCTCACTACTTGCCTACTTCGTTGAGTTAAATGGGAAAATTTTGATCCCTCCTTGTTTTTTTATTTTATAACTGCGCGAACCTCTATTTCCAAAGTTGCTAATTATCATAAATTCTTTAGACATATAAGGGCTCACGTAGTTCCGCGGGCGGTGATGGCGACCGCGTGATGCGCTTTTATGCGCTTATCTTTCAATGATGGACAGTGCAAGTAGGGTCGGCTGTTTGCGACCGCGTTAATCTTCGCGAGAGATACACCTAAGACATCATCACTAACACATTGGTTGTTCTGTTTATCATTGGTCGCTAACAATCATCGATAATAATTTTCTTATTTAAAAAATTAAGGCTAGAGCGGGTTGGGCTTCGTTAGCAACTTGACTTTATTATCCGCACACCGTTATTCACGTAATTTATCACCGCAGCAAAGGTAAGGATCGCTTAAGCATTGTTTACATTTTATACATCAACACGGGTCGCATATTTTCATTTTCGAACGGGGGGGGGGCAGGCAAAAATGAAATAGATCGCTTGCATATGCAGCCAGCTCGCCCGACAGTGCCCGATCCCTTCTAGACATTAGTACGATAACGATCTCGTGGCTAAAGCGCTTTGGTATTGTAAAAAGCTGGATTTGAGGAAATTGTTATTAATAAATTGAATAAAACCCCAAAAAGTTAAACCTTTTTTTCAGAATTCAATAAATTAACTAATGTATTTAGAGTACTGGTACCTAGCTTAAACCTTTGTTGCCGAATGAGAAATTAGAGAAAAATTGTGTGAGATCGATGTATGATGTATGTAAGACCTCGTGCTCGCGTAGTTTTCTTGTTACCTACGATTGCCCCATAGACGTGCACGAACGCATATTCCTGCGTATCGCGGCCGTAGCACCAGAACTCAGCTTCGTGAGGTACATGATCTTCGAAGACTATTAGACCCCATGGGAATCACATAGCTTCTAGGGTTTGTGGGTCACATGGGATGGGAAGAAGCAGCGCTGAGGCTACCTCTAGGCCGGATAACTGGCAAGTGGAGAGACTAGAAAGAGAATGAGGGGCATAAGAGCGAAGGTAGAAAGGTGTAGTAGTAGGCTTTTTGCTTCTAACCCTGCGCTACAGTGCCAGAGAAAAGGAAGGGGAAAAATTTTGGGGGCTGAACTCAGCGGCACAACCGAAGTGGGAAAAGTAAGTGGTTAATTAGCGGTCGACGTTTTGACTTAGGTAAGTCGTTGTTTGTTTGATGAAATTGCGAGCACTTTGCAACATTCGTTTGTCTTTTTATGGTTACTTCTTTATTTTATCAATTTCATTCACCTCACTCCTTTGCTTAACAGAAGAAATTACACATAACTATTACAGTAGTTATTTATATGTCAAATGTGTAGTATGCGGGCAACGGAAACTAATTATCAGACTGTTAAATTAATATTTACATGCTAATATAACATTGGAGGTATAGAAAATCATGTTATTGAGTAAAGTTTACTATTGTAATGATTGTATAATAGCTTCGTACATTTTATCAACCATCTTGATATGAGTAAAAGTTCATTGATTTTAGTGAAATAACGAGTGTAAATTAAATTTTTATTCGTTAATCAATATCGATGGATGTTATATTTCAAATAGCATGCTTTATTCACCTATGTGTATGTCCTATTAGAATTTCAAAATTGGAATGTAAATAACTCAAATAATGCAATAAAGAACAAAAAAAAACAAAAAAAAGAACGCGTGACGCGCGCTAAAGAACGCTAGGCTTTTTTTTATACGTAAAAAATAATAACAAATTCCGATCGATATTTCTATTCGAGTGTGTATTTACAATGAAAGAAGTTGACAGGAAAAGTACGCTATAGTAAATTTGATCTGTCGTAATAATATATTGGCATACTTGCGTCGGAAAAGCAACTCATTGCTAAAATAACGCGACGGTAAATCTGTCGATTTTGCGACTTTTCCCAATGGTGAAAACCGTCCCAAGGCACGTATTGTCGAAGTTGAATGAGAGGAAAAAAAGGAAAAAAACACGTACCAAGTCAGCTCGTCGATGAAATCTGGCGTAGCACGTAATCGCATCGCTTATAGCCCTGGAAACTGCTGTATTTTGCATGAAAAGAGAATAAAGTTGTGTGCTTCTGCGGTATAAGGATATTACTAGTAGACGAGATAAAAGTGGTACACTGTTGGTTAAAGTGGAGTTTGCTGTTTTTGTTTGCGCTTGGCAGCTATTGCAGATTTTATCGAGTTTTAGTGGTGATGTAGTATTTTGATATCTATACGTTCATTTGATACGAATAAGAAATATTTACTGCAGCCAAATTTCGTTTTACGAATATACGCTTGACTTGATAAAACAATAAAGCCTTTTTCCATTAAGGTTTATTTAGAAAGATATCAGTCATTGATTGATTTCTATTCAGTGTATTTATTAATTTTACTGTTTAAAATCATTTATCTTGAAGATTAAATATGTGTACAGAGGATATATAATTGAACTTACAATACGTTTTTACGCCACTGGACAAAGATTTATCGAACGAGAAAGAGGAAATCATAAAATTTGCTCTCTTTTTTATATTTGAGGATTCTATTTTTCAATGATATATCAAATGATTTGATTTTATCAAGGAAATATAATCAAAAAACCGTATTTACTGTTACTTACTAAGGATTTGTATGATATTAAATGCCAGTACACAATGAGTGCGATGTGCTTTTTGTTTTCGTTAAATAATATTACGATGTTCAGGTATACAGAAGTATCACTACAAGAAAAAAATTAACCGTTTAAACGCATTCTCATGAATAAATTAAAAAAATAGTCACATTTGCATTAACGCAAAGTGTCGATTGGAATGTCTTCAATATTTTCCACGTATAGAGTTCCGAATAACATATGATTCAAATAATTTGATTGGCGCACATGTTTGTAAACTTATAACAATAAGTTGAATAATTAAAATCGTCTAATTAACCTAATTGCAAATATAGATGGAAATCCAGACTTTTACAAAATGTCCTCGCGAACGGAACTGACGATAAATAACAGGCGTGCGCTCAAAAGGAAAAGTATTGTCATCCGCTAAGAGCCAGAACAAATGCATACCGAATTAGGCAAATAATTGAAGCCGTGTACACTCTCACGCCTGCGCTAACGAACGTAATCCCGCATTCGAAATATAACGCTTCGAAAATGAGAACGCGAGTATTCGCGCGAAATACAAAGGATACAATTCATGGTCAACGATTCATATTTTACACCCCTCCCGAACCCAAGTTTTTGCCAGTAAGGGGATTTTAAATTAACGCCACGGTTATGAAAGCTTATAGCTTAACGCACCAGAGGAATAAACTTGAACTTCTCCTATTGAAGCGTAAACTTTGCTACTCTAAAGATTTATGATACAGAGATGTGTTAGATATTTAATAAAACTTCCCAGATAAATAAAACTTTGTAAATAAACTTTGGAAATCTGCTTTTATTTGTCATGGAATAAGATTCACTAATTAATCAAATATGAATTTTGAATAAGTTTTTATTAATAAGCGTTTAAGACAACATATATAATCAGTCCGAAAAACAATAAGAGTACATTATCGAAAAATCAAAAAATCACACTGCTATCAACTATCGAGAAGACTTTAAAAAGCGACAAATATATAACAGAGACGAAAAGATTTAGCGATAAAGTCTCAATACCTGCCGTTTGCTCATAAAAAACTCGTCAGTCGTATAGCAATTTGTCGAAGCCGTTGGCGAGTGCGCGTAGCGTACATAGTCATCGTTCACGTGTATCACAAGGATCGAAAAACTCTTCGGCAACTTTTGCCAGCAGCAGTTTACGGCCACAAAGCCAGGTATATGTGTGTATACATGTGCATATACACGCACATACACATTGAATGTAGGGATTGTATTGGTCCTCGACAGAGTAAGAAATTGAAAGCAGGTGGAAAAGTCAACAGGAATTTACAATATCCTGAAAGAAAAAAAGAAGAATGTGGCCGACTTACCAAGTTTTCAGCGTGAATAGATTTCCGACTAGGCACAGTCGAGTTTGAATAATCTTGTTGATGGATTTACTTTTAAAATGTTTATAGCACTCGCGAATCTCGTGATTGACAATTTTCAAAAGATTTATCAAGTTGTTTTTCACTTGTTCTCTATCTCTCTTCTTCCTCTGCTCTTTTATTAATCTATACGTTAGTTATAAGTGTTTCTTTTTTCGTTCCTTCTGCAACTCCGCGAGGAAGACAGCAAGAAAAAAATTACAACCATTTCAATCTCGCGACCATTAAAGTTCTTAATGAACTCGGAGATTAATAATCAAATCCAGAACAAGAAAATATCTTTTATTAAAAACATCACAATTCTTTTTTCATTAAATTCATCCGTGACAACATTCACTCAGATTTAATGAAAATGCTTTTCAAATACATCCCTCCAAAAGCAACCACAAAGAAAAACAACGTGCGTGAATATGTTACAGCACCCTCTGTACGAATAATAGACACCATGGGGGAGCCATTGAGGGACAAGTACTACGAGGCCGACAGTACCATCGAGCTCTTGTGCGTCGTACGTCACATAGCCATGCAAATGCAGTACAGCGTGGTGCAGTGGCTTCATGATAACCGTACGCTGAATTATGACACCACCAGAGGAGGAATTAGGTGAGTCCAAATAAATTTTGTAACTAATGCTCTTCTTGTTTGATCAATTTGAATTATTTTCCCTTCCTTTCCACGTAGCCATAACAGACAATTAAATGCATCCATCTCACATAAATGAGAGCCCCGAGCGCGACAAATAATGCTTCGTTGGTAATGCGCATGAATTTCGTATGCGCCCAATTTACAAAACGACATTGTACTTTTTTGCTCGACAACAATTCACGTACCACTACATTTGGTTTATTAATTTTTCAATTTTGATTCGTAGCTACAGTTTTTCGTGATTATATTTGCGTCGAGTGTATACGGTAAAAACATACCTTGTAAATTACAACCGTCATTGTTATAGCTTTTGATATGGAAGGATGTGTGATATTTGACGGTAAGTGCAAGCGAAGCTCATCAGATTGTATTATATCATGAACAACATGTTTATCGCCAATCTCGACGGGTAATTGCTAATAAAACTGGAGGATCTGAATCCAATTACTAGGTCATATATTTCTGAAAGGGTGATATTGTCCCTTAGGTACTTACCACGTTCGATGTGACATCTATTTCCCATCAGCTGTACGTTATTCTTATGAGAATTAACATTTTTCATTAAAATTTTACTACGCGTCTTATAAACATGAGCTATATGCTATACGAAAATGAAGGATTGCATAATTGAGTTATAAAGTTAATCCCAAAATGCTAAATAAGTCATTAAGAAAGTCAAACAACTTCGACTATCATCTTAACTCTAAACTTACTTGCTATGACGTATATACATATCTCATATAAAGCAGTCACACATGGCAACCTCAAGTGAAATTGAGCGGGAGGAAACGAGAGTTGAAGGGGCATATGTATATAACGCAAAGGTAAAGACGAACTACTGCTTAAAGTAATTTCTGGCCTAAGAACCGCATGCACGGCTAATTCATTTGCCAACCTTCACGAATTATGATTGGGTTATCGCCGTCTTCATTTTAGCTACCGACCGTAAAGTTCTAATACAGATTCAACAATATTCGCTATGTAACGTGATCTTGTCTTCCAACTAGAGTGCCTATAAAGATGCTCTGCAATTGCGAGCCAAAAGTTTCACTGTATACTTTAATATTATGCGACTATGGAATTAAAATTTACACTGGGTTACTTAATAAGCTCACGTCTGTAAGAAATTCAACTTGAATAATATTCTTTCTTTGAGTAACTATTAGAAGACATTATTTTTTTCTAAATTGAGGGATACAAAACATGAATTTTAAGATAATGAGTTTATTCTCGCTTTCGTTATTATTTGACATAAATAAAATATAAATATAAATATAAATCTATGATTTTTTGTTACTAGACTTGGTCCATGCTTTTTTCCAAATCATTTTTACATTAGAACATAACATCACATTTTTTTTTATTGAAAAAGCTTTAATTTTCAATTGCAAAAATTACTTTACAAACAACATATTGCGAATAAGCTTGTACGTGGTATTTAAGACGCGCATACAAGTTGTTCGAGTATTAAAGCGTTGTCGTGGTTGGCTTGAAATATGAATATTAGTCGTTGAAAATAATAACATGTAAGCGATATTGCGGCTACAGTTTGCGCGCTCAACACATGCTTAACACCTTGCTGTAACTTGATCTACTTCGAATTGATAAGAGCCTTAGCCGAAAATCAAAATAATTGCGATAAGCATTTGACCTGCACACGTCATAAATGACATATTTTCTCTGCTATACTAGCCTCCTTGCACGCATAGACTCGTTCGCTTTGTTAAAAAGTAAGAAATAGAGTGGACATAGAGAAAAATAATTTACTATAAACGCGCTACTAGTCTGTACTTGCCTAATTATGATCAATGTAAAGCTAATGCAATTTGAATGATAAGCGCCAATATGATGCGATATTGCAGAGAAAATGTGATGGGAAGAAATGTAGAGTTTTTCTACTGTCACGCAATAAACTAAAAACTAGAAATATCGAGAAGAATTATGCCTCGAAAAGTAGAATCCACTACATTGTAAATAGAAACCAGGAGCCATCCCATAATAAAGGCACAACTAGCAAGCACGTCGATAAATAGATATGCTTTGCTACAGCCCAGTAAATTGAAATATTCATTCTAATCTCATTTATCGAGAGAAGATCGTTAAAAAGATCTTCAAAGCGCGGTTCCATGCGACAACGCCGAACACGATGCTTATAGTAGTAGCGAGGAGCGGAGTGGCAAGCTATCCACAACAATAAACATTGTAAAGGCAATGTCTATATGCTCTCAGTTAACGAGAGGAGAACAAATAACCCTAAAAAGAGGGTGAAAAAATGCTAGTTTTGTCTCGCTCATCGCTTATGAATCAGAACGTTTTATTAGGTCGATCAAGCAAGTCGCTTTCTAATACTAATTTTATATCAGTTGACCGCAGCAACTTAAGTTTTTGCTCATCGCGTGCGATATGCAATATAAATTTATATATTTTAATTAGTATAATTTTCACGGTTGCAATTAGCATTTGTATAATTTTATTTATTTTATGTGTTTTTGGTAGTTTTAAGTTTGATTGTATTTTATATTAATAGAGACTTTCAGATTTAGTAGACAATTAAGTTATTTCTTTATTACACTCATTCCCATCCTGAACAGAACGTCAAGATGCGACGCATTCGTGTCGCTCAGAATAATGTTTGTTCGGCGGTAATAGAAGGAAAACTCATCGTCAGCCTTAACTATAGTGTGTGTGTGAGAGAGAGAGAGAGAGAGAGAGAGAGAGAAGAAATGGATGTTTGGAATAATCATTGCGGAGGAAAGATGTTGAAAAATGCATGAGCTCAGCAGAGAAATTCTAGTTTGTAGCTGTTTTAACGGTAAATATCAGATAGCCTTCCGATAATTTCATTACGCGTTCATACGCATGAATGAAAATAAAATACAATTATCTGAAAATCCGTTGATTTACAATAACGCAAATTCATAATGAAGTTATATAGACGTATAATTTGTAATCATCAAGCTAAAAGAAGTAGTAATAAATTAGCACAGTAAAAGCTCGTAGCTCTTCGCTTACCACATAAATGCGTTGCGAGTGGAAGTCTTGCGGGCATGCATAATTAAAAATCGTAAATAAAACTCTCGACTCATACGCGCGTACACTTGCGACGATTTCCATATATAAAAGCTCCATAATTGCGGGGCCCTGAATTATTTTTCACTTGGGCGTTTATCGCGACAGGGGCATCTCTTGTGTTAATTAGCTGGCACTCAAGTCGAGTAGATAAACAAGAGAGCTTTTTGTAGAAAAATTGCAGAGCATTATACGAGAGAGGGAACAGGTGTGTAATGTATATATATATATACATATATATATGTATGTATATATGCGAGCGTAGAAGAAGAAAGCAGATGCGCAATAAGTAACACCTTGGCGAATCTTTTAGCCACTCGGCCACGGAATAATGAACGAGTGAATTGCGCGTCCAACTTTTTCAATTAAACTTCCGAGCGAGGTGGCCAAGTGCCTTAGTGCGACTGGTGAGTAAGGAAGGGAAAAAAGGTCAGCGGGGAATCTTTAAGAAAAGCTCCTTGCTTTTTTCTTTCTCTTTCTGCGAGGCTAATTTTTTTGCTTTTGTTTTTGTATCTTGTCTTGACTATACAGACCGACAATTGATGGAACTTCCTAGTTCTTTTTTGTTTGAAACATTGTTAACATGATCATTTGTGTAGATATATTTTTACTAAAATCAAATATTTTTTAAGCATTTTTTCAAGTGTAAAATTTCAAGAGAAACTCTATCTAACTATGTTAAGTAGAAAAGAAGTTAAGAATAATGTATGGTTATATAAATATAAAATGTTGATGTTTTAACAGTTGCTAAAATTATATTATACGTTGTAGTAATGCTATATAACTTTCCTAGTTTCGGTATCGGTCTGATTATACGCTGACATTATCTACTTATTAATGATCTTACCGTACTTCAGAGGAAATACGATGCTCGAGTTAGTTTTGTACTTCGAATTTCCTCTTTAAAAGTTGTAAATTAAGTCAATGAAAAGTTCATTTCGTACTTCTACAGTTGTTTCTACAATTTTGTTGTGCGATTATTAAAGGGTCAAAGTTCATTCTCTGTATCAAATTTTTATTATTTTGCTCTTAATGTTTAGAAAGCTCTCACAGTTCGAAACATATAATAGTTCAAGTTTCACGTGATTTTCTTATTTTCAAGAATAAATTATAACAAAAATAGGATTTCCGGTCGGTCATGAGTACCAAATTGCAAGGATAACTACAGTTATACAGTTAAAAAACAACCCTCTATAATCCGTTATTCTTCACAATTCTCCATTCAAAGAATGTATAAATCACTCAGAAAATTAATATATTGGTTTTATGTTACCAGCGTGAAAACGACTTTGATGGAGGAGGGAGCGAATTCAACGCTAAGTATAGCCAGGGTTGGACCAGGAGACAGTGGCAATTATACGTGCGCTCTAACGACGATGCCTGATCAACCAGCTACTGTTCACGTGCATGTTTTAAATGGTGAGTAGCAATGTTTATAATTATGCGTCATACATTACAGTTTGCTATATTTATTTCACTTTTTTTGGAGGCAGACGAAGCACTAGGGTTTTAGTTTCATCACGTGTACTGACTTTTACTAGGAATTTGGAAATACTGAGCATGATAAACTTATTAGCTAATTGATAATCAGACTTAATAATCAGAATTCATTTATGATGCTTTTCTATTGTTCACTAGAATGTATCTCAATCAGTCAACGTTTTTAAATTGATTTAAATTTTCAATTGTCAATTTTATAAAATAAAATTTTATAAAAATATAATTTATATTTTATAATAGAAAATAGGTCTTTTTTATAACAAACAAGAAACCGTGCTTGAGATACAATGTTCATACTTTATCTTCTCCATTTACTGAGCAATGGTTAAAATAATTTTTACATGTAATTTCATGTACGATACAAAAACTTTTTCTTCGTACATGAAAAGGATATGCAAAATACAAATCGTAGCAGACATAAAATAGGATCATTAGTTTCTATCTTTACATAACTCGATAACCTCACAATATTCTTGAAAAAATGGTAAAAGTCTGTCCAAAAAGAACGAAAAAAAAAACAGAATAAATAAGAAGGTATGACCCGCTAAAAGCAATTGAAGAAGAGTAAAGTGGCAAGTTTTAAAGTAGCCAAAGAGTGCACTTGAGCGTTGTTATGCACGGGTGCAGTGTTTTTTTCAGTGCGCCTCTTTGTTTCAGGAGAAAGCCTAGCCGAGCTGCATCACGGGCGAGCGAGTCACCCGCGGCTGTCGCTAAGCGGCAACGCTCCGATGCTAGTGCTGTTGCTGTTCCTGGGTCTGGTGTGGCTTGTGCCGAGATGAAGAAGCGCACAAAGCTCGTTCGCTGACATTTGCCACCTCCTGGCCACGCGTGTGTGTCAAAGGAGGTGCCAGAGGGTACAGTAAAAAGGGTTTGGATCGCACGAAGATGGTAATTGAATTGGATGCTTTGGCTGTGGCAGATGCAACGTTTCGCCGTTTTACTTCAAAGATAACAGACATGCATAGACAGAGAAAACTTTTTCTGTGAGTTTATTATATTTCATAGTCGATTTGGATAATTGGACACTAGAGATGGAGAGACAACAAAGCTGAGATCAACTTATGAAAACTTGACATTTTTCGAGAGCTAATAGTTTTATTCGTATTTTTTAGTGCCTTTCGACATAAAATTGCTTTAATATGTAACACGGAGTATCGTAAATTTGTATATAAAGTTAAATTTTTTTATAGATGTTTCGATATACTATATTATATGTATGATTTTTTTTTTAAAGATTGTTATGGTTTGACGTTATAGTTCCCGATCCAAATCAGTTTTACATAGATGAAGGGAAAATCATTCCAATAGGATGTGTATATACTCAGTCATCCCGGTTAATTATTAGAAAGTTGAAACATTGTAAATGACGAATGTCATTAGTGCTCTAAATATATATAATCGTGCGCCCGAAAAGAAACAGAAAACAAATAACAATATATACCTATACACGTTATCAAAGAAAGATAAAGCAAATTAAAATGTACAGCAGCAGCAAACCGCCAAATCAACTAGTTTATCGCTTCTTTTGTTCTCCCATTTCACAGTTCTATCATTGATCCTTTAAACTGAAAAATAGAATACTTCAAAGCATTCCGCTACGTTGTATGACAAAACAATAACACAATATCGAATTTTTGTTTGTAAATTAGAGTTTAGTTTGAGATTGGTGTAATTTATTGAATTACAAATAAATATATAATAGCTTTCTTTAAGCTAATTTCTGAACTATTATTTTAATTGATAAGTTTAATTTATAATTTTAATTTTAATTGATACTATTATTTTAATTATTACAATTGATAAGTTGAAAGCTCAGTATAACGAAAAGATATGTCTCTTGAATACATGAATCTATCGAGGTAAAGTACAAAGGACTGCAGTAAACTGAGATATTTGTGATAAAAGTTCCATCGTAATTCATTGTCGAAGTCTCTCGTAGAGAGAGCACACTGTGTTTATAAATCACTGGGTAAAGTCCCAATATTGACAGGGATCTACTTCTCTCCCTTTATCAGAGGAAAAAGATAGACGGAGGTGCGTAAGGGCCGCGACACAAAAATCAATTTGTCTTCTCTTCGTGAGAGCAGCGATGCGCGCAACACGAGGGCTCTACTTCTCGATTATTCACGTCTATCTCAGTGCGGTCACGAAGCTCTCGAGAATAAAAGAGAAGCGCTTAATGGAATCTTTCTTGGATGAAAGCTTAGATTACTAGACACGAACAATCATCTGATTACTACCACGAAATTAAAATGTTCCGAGAAGAAACATCTTTCTGTTCTGAAAGATCGCTTGAAAAGAACACTTAATTAAATCATCGTTGAAAAGAAAAACAGGATAAAGAGAAGTCAAACTTAAACACAAAAATTTGAAAAGTTTTTACAAATGAATCATTAAGATGTATCACTAATTTATACTTACTATATGTGATATAATAATGCAAACTTGTCATAAACCTATACGACGGTATGCACGACGTTACTTCAATATCTTTTTTTAAACTTTTTGTTATGTGAAAAATTTAATCAACGCTTATTCTTTCAATAGAGTAAACTATACGAGCAACCATAAACTTGAAAAAAATTGCTGCCAAGCTATTAACCAAGCAAGCTTTATTGAGTATAACAATAAAAAGTGTAATGACAAAATAAGGAAGTACATAAAGGTTCAAAAGAAAATATATCAATTATTAGTGTAAAAAGTGTAAATACTACAAATAATACGTTTATATGAAATATAAAAATACGTTTTTAAGAAAATATAAATATGTTTAAAAAATGAAAAAAGTTTAGCTTAGTTTTTTTCCAATAATCGTCAAAGTTCATTAGATATAAGAAACACGAAGGTCTCCATAGGTAGTTTTCCAAATGCGATTTTTTGAATCCAAGTAATACCCATTTTTTCTCAAGAATCTTCGGACTCTTTTATGAACAAAAGGGACCAGCAGTTATCGCACACTGATAATACAAAAATTAATATTTCGGCTTATCAAGTAATTATGGTCGCCTCAATGTTCATTGCCATTTCTATTATATAATTATATTTTTTCATTTTCAACTATAGATTGCTGGTTAATTTTTCAACGAACAATGGGTTTATAATATTTAAAATATTTTTAAAGTATGATCTAATCGCCAATTTGTATTATGAATTTATTGTAAAAGATTGTAACAATGTTAATTTAATTATAACGTTTAGAATTGCAAAATATTTACATTTGTTCATGAATTCCATTTTTAATGTTACAAAACGAACTATTTCAACAAGTCATAAATATAATTACTAGGAAATGTATTTTAAGACTCAACACTGAATAAACAGGATTTCAATTATTTTAATATTCACAAAGTCCTGAAATATCGATTTCATATTAGACTTTAAGCAATTTACTATAAAAATATATACGAATAAAATATATTTAGCATTTAGAAATATCCCGAATAAAAATGCAACGTAATAATACATTAAATTTCATGTACTACGTCCCTGCGTGTTCATAATTGTCGAAGATATTCATTTAATTGATGTGAATGATTAAGATTGATTATGTACGATGTTTGTGTGATAATGGATGAATACGTAAATAAAGTCGTCTTGCGATAGAAAAAAATTGAAAATACGGCTTAGCTATAGATAAGCGTTAACTTAATATTTAAAGGATAAAAAAGTCCGAATACTGTAATTTTTTGCATTTTCCGTTGAAAGAAGTAAAATTTTTAAATGATAATAATATTACCGTCAAATATCGAATTAACAGATATTTTGGCTCTTTATCAGCTCGTTTATGCTTATAACAAGCATTACTGTTAAGCATTATTTGAAAAAGAATATTGTATAAAATCCATGTGATGATCGAAAATATTAATGAATAAATCCATCATTTTACAAAAAAATTATGCTTAAAATGCAAATATAGCTAATTTATTTAATAACCTATTACTGCATATCTAGACATCAGATTATTATTTGAAATATTTGAAAATTTGAAATATTTGAATATTTGAATATTTGAATATTTGAAATTCTTATTTGAAAACAGATTTAAATTATAAAACAGAACCATCAGTATATTTTAATTTGAAAGCCATGTAAATAACACGTAATGTCATAAGAGGTCAAGAGAAATGAAAGAAACGTAATTAACGGGCTTGAAAATGGATACGCATCTCGAATTTCCAGGTCAGTAGCGTTTCGTACAGGTAAACACGTCTACAGAAGAGAAAGAGAAAAATAGAAGTGTACGCGCCAGCCGAAGACATCAACGTCTGTTGAGAATCGAGATACTGAAGAAGTGTCTTTAGAATTTTCTCTGGCGGGCGCAGGCGCTCACGTCCTTTATGCTCCGTTCATATTGGACACGAGCTGATGTTTAATTCATGGATCCTCTTCTTTGTCATTCCGCGCGATCCCTTGGCTTCCATATTTCCCTGCCATTGCCACGAGGCGTTGCAGACACTCTGCAGGGTCAACTATCTTTTTCATTAACCTCGTCTAGTAGTGGCAGCAGCATACGGATCGACGTCTCGCGTTCCCGCTGCTCACGTCTCGCAATTTTCTCTTTCTCTCTCGACTCCAGCGAGGATTTGTAATTCAACGAGATGAATGCATCATAGGCGCGACAGGTCTTTCCCATTCTTTATATTGTAACGGGACGTGAGTAACTATTATTATATCGAGGAAATCGGCGGGTAAAAATCCAAGTTTTTCTCATTTGGCTGAGTTTTAATAACTTGTGGATATGACATAAAAATGAGAAGCAATTAAAGTTTCCCTTTATTGTAATGAGGATCATTTGTATGAAAATTGTTTGGCGAGAGATCTTTAGAAAATAAAAGTTTGATTTAAAAGAGTACAAAAAACGTACAGAATGTATTTAGGCAGAGTCAAAAAATGACAAATGCATCGTGCAAAAGTATCATTTCGACACATTCAGCACACTCTATAAAACTTAAAGAAGTAGGACTTGGAATATAAACTACAGTCGTGAGTATGAAGCTCGTTTCTTATGTACTCTTTTCGATGCATCGAACTATGATATATAGTTGAGTTACGATCGTGTGTCGACCCCCGTATATACAGGTTTATATCACACGTATAAGTGCAAGGAAAAGCTCCTTCTCTACGTATGAAACTTCATTCTGGTGACTTTAGTTAGTGTATTTTCCTTAAATGACAGAAGATAATTAAGACCGAGAAGATTTGTTTACAAAGTTTGAATATCGTGGAATGGCACCAAGACTGATGGTGCATCTTTTTAAGATAGAAGTTGATTATTTGTTGACTGATGTTAGTTGATTAATTTGAAAACAGTTACGTCTCTATTTTTTATTTGAATGCAGCTTTTTACTGCTGATAATTTAAATATTTAATATATAAATAAATTAATTATTCATTGATTTTACTTATCGTAATTGTAATCAATAAATAATAATATTTATATATCCAAACTATTTTCAAGATGACAATATCGGAATTTTCTATGTTACAATTACGAGAATGCTTATCGTTTTATTCAAGCGCAAGTATTTAAAATAAATATGACAGATTTTTTCGCTTTACAAAAGTAATTTTTTTTTTTTTTTTTTTTTTATTATAGCATTTCAAACCTGTACAATAGTGAGGTTTATTTCTGCTTTACAGATATAGCAGTTACAAAGGAAGGAATTTACAGTATAGTTATCTATATTCTCAGGTTACAATTTTTTAGAAAATCAAGAACGCATTGACATGCTTCAATATTCGGTTTAGCGATGATCATTTCAATACACAATGGTTGATACAGATGTAATTTACGCAGTCTTTTATACAGAATATGTCTTTGATTGTCGTATAACTCACACTGCCACAAAACATGATTTAAATTTTCATACTCTTTTCCGCAAGGACATAAAGGTGACGATTTTACATTAATTCTATTCAAGGATTGAGCCATGTGGTAGTGATTTGATCTAGCACGATTTACAGATACAATGAAGTCTCTCGAGAATTTTATATTATGGAACCACGGTTTTTTATTTGTAGAATAGAATTGTTTGCAGTAGACAGAGCCTTTAGTGAGTCCTGCATTTAATACAGTTTCGTTGGTATTATCAGAGACATTTTTTTTGAAGGATTCATACATATCAGTAAAGGGCACTTTGAGGTAGTTTAAATAGGCTTTTCCAGTAGCTTGTTTGGCTATTTGGTCTGCCCTTTCGTTCCCTTCAATTCCTACATGGGACGGAATCTAAAAAAAGTAAATACTATAATCTCTATTTCTATCTTTAAAAAGCTTGAACATTTTTTTAATTTCATATATGTACGGATTAGTAGTAATCCTGTCATCTCTTGATTCAAGACATTGTAGCGCGCTTATAGAGTCAGTGAAAATGAAAATATTCTGCTCATCATATTGAAGTGCAATATCCATGGCTAAGTTTAGTGCGATACACTCCCCGGTATAGACCGACGCATATCCGTTAATACTTCTGTATAGCTCAATGTTGAGTGAAGGCACTATGCACGCTGCACCAACATAGGCATTATTTAATATTTTGCTGGCATCAGTGTACACGTTCAATGATTTTCTCTTTTCTAAAAAGGAATTCAGTACTAAATTAGGATCCTTGCTTGCCTTCAATGCTAGTCCTAAGCTTTGAACAAATGGAATAGAAATGGTGCTTGTCCTGTATTCATGAGAGTAGTTAAGGCATGAATTTTGCACTTCAATTTGTTCCAGAATGGGTGGCATGTTATCAATACATTCGAACAGCAATTTTTTTCTCTTTCGACGGTTTTCCTTGGCATATATTATTTGGCCGTACATGAGATTATTTTTGTGCGAAGAGACTTTTGTCAAGTAATTGTAGGCCAGAAACTTCGCACGATCATGCAATAACGGTAATTTAGATTCAGCTATCAAAATGTTAGTCGGAGTGCTTTTTCGATAGCCGAGAGCTGCTCGAATAGCAGTATATTGGATTTGTTCTATTTTATTGATGTATTTTTTGGAAACAGGAAAGTATATAAAACAAGCGTATTCAATTGATGAGCGTACGAAGCTTTTGTATAAAGTGAGTAAAGTGGAAGGGTCAGCACCCCACCACGTGCCACACAGAAATCGAATGACATTAAGAGCTGAATTGGCTTTGGACAGTGTTTTATTCACATGGGGAATAAATGTGTTTTTATAATCAAACGTAAGTCCCAAGCAACGTACTGTCTCACTTGACGTTATCTTGTGGCCATTTAATTTTATTTCTACTGATCCCGGAAGAATTTTTCTGTTATTGAAGTGGACTAGTGTAGTTTTACTGTGTGATAAACCTAAACCGAGATTGTTAAGATTGCCATTTAACACATTAACGGAGTCCTGGAGTACGCTCGTGCCTTCCAGAAGAGATTCTTTTTTAACGTACATAACTATGTCATCCGCAAATTGCAGGACCGTGAGATCTTTAGAAACTTTATGCGTAATGTTAGCAACATAAATAAGATACAACAGGGGGCTGAGAACTCCACCCTGTGGAACACCTTTACCTAAGCGCATTGTTTGGTGCTCAGCTATATCCGTATGCACGTACCTTTCATGTGTCAGTAATTTAACAAATTTAATCAATTGTACCGAGCAGTCCATTTCTGCTAATTTCGATAGTAAACAGTCCGATGACACGTTATTAAAGGCGTCAGAAACGTCTAAAAAGGCTGCAAGGATGTATTTTTTTTGTAAAAAAGCGTCATCAATATCCGTAGCTAGATATGCAAGATTGTCATAGCAACTTCTACCTTTGCGAAAACCCGATTGTCCAACTGGCAAGAAATTATTTCGTTCAACCCACCACTGTAGCCGATTTTTGATTATTTTTTCGAAAATTTTTCCAAGGCATGAAGTTAACGCGAGTGGTCTTACCGAACTTCCGTCAGGCTTGTTTACCATAAGAATAAAAGAATGTTTCCAATCGTCCGGATAATCACTTTGTTGGTACATTTCATTATAAATGTCCAAAAGTAACAGCTTGTATTTGATTGGAAGTTTAAGTATAGCTTCGTTGTCTATTCCATCAAGACCTGGACTAGCTTTCACCTTGCACGAATTTAAAACCTTGTTAAATTCCGCAAACGTAAAATAATTATCCAGTAATGCATTATTTTTGCACGGCGGGAGCCACTGTGGATCTGTGATAGCCCAAGGAGGGCACAGTTTATTTATACATGTAGAGCAGTGCTCATTGTATTTCTTTTGGTCTATGACATTATTAGTATTAGTTTTAACCCAGCTGTTGTTCAGGATTTTGCACTTATTCCATACATATGACCCATTTGTTTGGTAATTTATGGTTTCCGCGAATTTTTTAAAGTATTCTTTCTTTTTACTTTTAAACAGTCTTCTTGCAAGTGCGCAGTTCTTTTTATATTCTATAAAATCATTATGATTTTTGGTAAATTGCCATTTTTTATAAGCAGCACGTCTTAAACGTTTCATTTTATTACATTCTGCGTCCCACCACGGTACTGGGTTTCTAACATGTTTATTGCATTTTCTTTTCCGGGGCGTAGCTTTTCTTATAGACTCAGAGACAATTTTTACAAAGTGATCGTATTTTTCAGAAGGAGTCATTTGATCGTATTCACAGCTAAAAAAAGATTTACTAAATGTTTTTTCTAGGCAATCGTTGACAATAGACCAGTCAGTTTTTAGTGAAGAGAGCTTGAAAGTTTTACGCTGGTAGATATTTTTAGTGGCATCTAAATAGAGTGCTATAGGATAGTGGTCAGATCCGTATGTTTCATCGCAAACTTCTACTTCTAATTTATCTGACAGAGACATTGAGGAGAAAGCTAAAT